ATCTGTCTGATGTCAGCACGTCCTCACTCAACAGCAGTGGCTCTGAAAACAGGTAACCAGCGACCCCTTGTGTTCTTGCAGATTTTATATTTGCTTTTGTATTTAAAGGAGCAATTGAAGAAGAAGATATACTTTATTAATTCCAGGGAAATTGTTCTTTTCACTCTTTTTTTATACACACACACAGGCTGAAATACACACTTTCATGCACTTGTGGACATGCAAACAGGGAGAGAGATGGTGGAGTGATAGGGCTGCAACGTTAACAGTGCCTCATGAGCAGGCTTGGGGCTTGGGGTTGGGGTTGGCCACTTCATGCTGCAAGAAACTGGTCATTTTTTATGTTTAAAGACACAGAGACCCTTTTCAGGAACATGAGTATTTACACACATCATAAAAGTGACACCAACTATATATATATCACATCTTATCTCATCCTATAGGGACACGCCACCAATTGTACTCGTACAGTTCACATTTTGAGAACAGTTCCATTTGTTCTGTGTCTCTGGAGGGAGTTTATCTTGGTCTTAGAGAGGCCTACACACTGGAGGGTTTAAAAAAAGCAGGTTTTTATAAGGCAGGTAGGTCTGAGGAAAGATGCTTGTTCTTGAGTTGAAGTTAAGTTGCATTATGGGAAATGTACCTGAAAAACATTGCACGCCTCCGCCCCTCACTCTCCTCTTCTGCTGCTGAGACCCTCGTCCACACTTTCATCACATCCAGAATTGCAACAGCATCTTATAAGGGGCATCTTTTAAAGTCCTTAATAAACCTCAGTACATCCAGAACTCCACTGACCACATCCCCCCTGTCCTCCTGAACCTCCACTGACTCCCTGTCCAACAACGGATCCAACTTAAAGTCCTTCTCGTCACTCACAAAGCCCTCCACAACCGGCCCCCTTCTACACCTCGCAGACCTGCTCCATCGCCACACTCCTTCCCGAAGCCTCCACTCCTCTGATCCCAACCTCCTGTCTCCAAGGACCAAGCATTGTACCTGGGGCGACAGAGCCTTCTCCATTGCTGCCCCCCTCCTTCTGGAACTCTCTCCCCAAACACATCCGAGACTGTACTGATCCATCCAACTTCAATTCACTGATTAAAAAACATCTCTTCAGAACTGCTTTTAATGATGTTAACAACAAATTATTGTTGACTGTTGGAGATATAGCTATCATTTTTTGAAAAGCGCTCTATAAATTAAATGTATTATTATTATTATTATTATTATTATTATTATTATGTAGGAGCCAGTGTTTTTCCAACTTGAACCCATACAAGGACCCAAAAGTCTGAATATCAGCCTCTGCTGCGTCAATGTGGATCATTCTTGTTCAAATCTGTCTCTCCAACTTTATGAAAGTGAATCAGTGGAGTGTCTCTTTATTAACGATTAAGTAAACTGTACTCACCAACAACGGGGGGCCACATCCTTTCCTGATCCGGCTCTCCAGTTCAACAACAAATAGTGGTAATATCCTGTTTTGGTGAAAGGTTTCCGTTGCTCATTTAATCCTGAAAGAGACTTCCTGTAACATCCTGAATATTGGGATCATCCTGTCCGTGTACGTGTGTTGTAATGAGTCTCCAGAGTTGACACATTGAGTGGATATGGCTCCCCTCTTAACAGCTCCGGTCACTCCTAGCCTTGACAGAGCTTTGCAGGTTGAACGAAACCCCCGGCAGCCCCACCTTGATAGGTTCGCAGTGAGCCGCGCACTGCTCCGCACCAGGTTCTTGGTATTTCAATGTGTTTCGGCCTGGCTTCTCTCGTGTGCGCTCCTCCATGTGCTCTTACCATGGCAGCAGTCAGCAGCTCCTCACATGATCACCTGCTTGGTAGCAATCTGAGTAGATGATCAGGTCTGGGGCGATGTGTTCGGGGACCCTTTATTGTTTCCCAGGTCGCACCTCCTCAGCTGCCAAACTGGGGCCTGTGGACAGCCGGCCTGACTTGGTCTGTGGTCGCGAGTGGGGGCTTCTCTCCAGCTTCAGGAAG